GTGAGCACTTCTGCCAGCTCCCTCAGTACCCTTGGGTGGATCCCATCTGGCCCCATGGACTTGGGTGTGTCTACGTGAGTTGAGCAGCAAGCCACCCTTCAGGCTGCACTAGTTAAGATTCAAGACTGCTGTCTTGAAGATGGAAAGGAAATGAGAGTTTTGTTGCTTTAAATAAACAACCACAGCAGTGCCACAGAGACAAAGAAGGCAAGGCAGATATTCCTGTCCCCTGCTTTTTAAATTTTAGCCATATCTTACTTCCATTTAACTCATAATATTTGGAAGATCCAGTGTTAATCAATATTTTTCATTAAACAAAAGCAACATGTATATTTTAAACAGTATACATGCAAGAACTTTGTACTCCTCAAGACCTTTTAATCAAGCAGGGCAGGAGGCAGGCCACTGCTTCAGAAGTTTGCATTACTTGTACTGGCCCTTCCCCATCACTTTGATAGCCTGATTTTGACCAACAAGGTGAACCAGGGCGCAGAGTTGAGACTCCTGCATACATTTACTCCTACGCTTCTGCAGCTTCTGCCCAGACATCATGACCAACTGAGAGATCCCAGCTAATACCCTTAGGATCCCAAACACCATCAAACAACAGGGAAATACAAGAACTAACACCACTGCTCACCAGTCCTGTGTGCTGGTCCCAGTTCCTAATGCCACCTGCCAAAACTGTCCTCTTTTTTTCTTTAGGAAAAAAGTATCTGGGCTAAGTCAGCATAGACTTTTTATCTGAGCCTGAGCCAAGTAGAAACAAACTGAACCACCACACATCCCCCGTACTCCCAGGATGTCTGCTCTTAGCAGGGTAGCAAGAGCATCTTTGCCTGAGTACATCTTTTAAAAAGATAATGGAATTAATACAAAACTCTGCATCAGAAGAAGAAAGAGCACATGACAAAGAAAGAGGGACGGAGGGAGGGAGGAAGACAGAACAGACCCTTTGCTTTGCAGACGTATGTGGATTCAGGGTATGTTAGCCCTAATGCTAACAGACTGAACTTTTTATAGGTGCTGGTCCCACAGAAACTTTAACAGGTACCTAATATTTCTATTTGAAGTACGGATTTTAATGGGATGTTGTTGCTAATGAAGTAAAGAAAGTGTGCAAGAGCTTGCAGGACAATTCATGCACAAACATGACCCAGTCATGCTGGTCAGCTATTCCAGCTACTTTGCTTGAATGTAAATAGCTCCACACAGCCCAAAACACTACAGAATGAGCCCTGTTTAACTAGGCAGTGTTTCTTTACACCATTAACCACCTAATAAAAAAAAGATTCTGTGACTAAATGAAAAAAAGATTTCAGAAGGAAAATAAAATAAAGAAACTCTAAAGGCTGCATGTAGGAAAGCACCCACATTTCTGTCTGTCGCATGGGATCTACATACAGTGCATAGAGAATAAAATGCTTGCAGCTGAAACTCACAGGATTGTATGCTGAATGAGGAGCTCTCTACAAGAGCCAGAGGAGCTGGAAAGGAGAGAGGTGCTGGGTCTGGATGCGCTGGGGACATTCAGGCCTTGAACCCCTTTCCTGGTATGATTTTAGCCTGCAACTTTCTCTCTTCACAGAATTCATGAGACAGGGGTGGAATTTGATGGGATAACCTTGTAGTTCAACTTGGGTTCGGATCAAGCCCTTGTGAGAGAGACCTATCTCCACACCTCAGTTGTGGGATACTCAGTCTCCACTAGTAAAATTGTTCCAGTTTCAATAAAATATTTACATCAAGTCCAGGTTTATACCTCACCCAGCTGTGCCAGGAATCAAAAAAAAAAAGAAGAATCATCCAATGGAGATACAACAGCAAGTACCCTTAAGAAGAAGAGTCTGAAGTCCTGTTTCTTACAGTCTAGAGGAATCCTTTAATGAGCAGGCTGCTGCAGAAAGCACCTTTCCCTCCACAGGCTTGAGAAAAGCCCACTTTGAGAGCCTCCGCTTCATCAACAGAACAGGCAGAAGTCCCTTCTGTACCTCTAGGCACACCAGGCAGCAGACACGTGGTGCCTCTTACATTTGGTGACAGCTGGATGGGACACTCAGGTATCTACAGCTGGGACCTGGGCACCTAACGTGGGTCCCATTGTGCCAGAGCACTCCAGACCCTGTAGCATGGTTTGCTCCAATATTTCAGTATAAAACTGGGTGGGCAAGGGTGGAGCATATGAGTGCAGATGCAGTTATCAGCTTCTCAGTACACACTCCGTAACAGATTGCAGCAATCTAATCTTCTAGGAAAGATTCTGTTAAACCCTAAACCCAATACATACAAAAACATAGTGGCAGTAAACATGCCCACATACAGTAGTTAAAATATATTATTGCATATTATAAACATTATATACAAGGTTAAAATGGTTTCTTTACCATTTACTTACAAGTGACATTTGTAGCTGAATGCCTTACTTACAAGTCCTCATTGCTACGTGCTGAGAACTACCAGAGGTATTTGGCAAGACTATACACTATAGAGAGATATGGATCAGTCTGAGCAAGTGAACTCTGTCATCAGCCACTTTCCCTATCTTTAGCACTGCACCAGTTTTTTAGCAATGACGGAGAGAACTACTGGTAAAGTGATTTACACCAGATTTCTGAAACTAGACCAGCATGGTTCCTTAACATGTTTTAGAATGAGCTTATCCACACTAAAGCATGGATTAAAATGCCGCATTTCACATTTGCAGTGGGTCATCTGGTTACAAATCTGGGTGCTGGTACCTGCTTGTACACTAGAGAGTGGGAAACAATAAATAAGGGACCAGGTTAACGTGAGTGGCCTTGTGCTTGACAAACCCAAGTCTATATGCAGTGGGTGCGCATCTGCAGAATGGACAAAGCAGTCTTGTAACAGTTTCTCTGATCAATGTCTGTCAGGTTCCTGGGGAATCTTCTGCTTTCCAAGAAGGATGAAATGCTGTGGTTCCTTACAAAAAGGCTCTGCCTGAGGCTAGATCTCTGTCAGTGTGATCTTGAAGCCTTCGACCATGCTCTCCATGTGCAGGATGAACGTGTCCTCGTTGGAGTAGTGCTCAATAATGTTGTCATCCATGTTTACCAAGATACTGGTGACAAAGGCAAAAATCAATATTTTTATGTACCAGGACACTGAAAGGGAAAGCCATGCACTCCACCACGTGTCCTCGCTTCACTACAATGCAAAAACAGACTCCAGCACATGCCAATACAGGGACAATAGTGGGAATCATCATCAAGATCTGCCCCATCTGTCCCTCATAGTCTTTGGATTAGAGGCTGCTCCTTGCCAAAGTAGTTAATGTAAGAGACATGACAGTGCTGGGATGTTAACCCACTTAAGCTGCCTACCAGGTGAGCTGCACTCCAGATCCCTGGCAGACCCAGCTAGCTGGTGTTCCCCATGCCTGGTGCTGGCTTCTCCAGGTACACCACCATGTTACTCCTCAGCCACGCCACGTGAGCTGCTGCATGTCTGTGGTGGGAGTCGCTAACACGGGGAAGCAGTGTAATTTGTGCTTTGCACACAGCTCACAGGCTTAGAACTCAGCTTGGATGTGAGAATATCAACAACTATTAGAAGCGTATATGAGTGTTTTCCTCACTCCTTACCGTCAAAGCGTTTCTTCCAACAAACATATCACTTGGAAACGGTGTTAGAAAGTAGCAAAACATGAGAAGTTTCACCTGTCTTCTCAAAAGCTAAAGAAATCCCCAGACAAAACAATGCCCTAAGCTAGAGTTACAGCTGAAAATAAATGATTGATTTAAAATTATAGCACTACAATATTGTGGTTATATAGAAGTAAAAAGAGTTAAAGTGGAGACATTTAGAATTATGGCAAGGAGTAGTAGCCTAGCTATTCTAAAATCACAGCTGTGATGCTCATGTCTAAATTTACTCAGCTGAAACCCCTGCAGCAAACGTTGCCTGCCTGCCTTTCAGATTCGGACAGTGGCCTACTTCTTCCCAACACTGCAGGGGAACTCCACACTGCATTCACAGTAAAGGCTGCACCTCTCCCATGCTGGTGCTCCACGATGTTATTAAGCATATAGTCTACAAAGCAGACTTTATCCAAATACATTTTCCAAACACAAACTCTGTTTCTTCACAGTAAACCTATGAATACTGGTCAGACACAGACTGGAGATTCATCTTTCCTCCTCTGCCACCCCTTGCTGTCTCCACAGACATTAAGATTTCAAGCGTATGGGCATGTCTCCTAAAAGTGTTTATACTGCCCAGCATCATGAGGCCCCAAGCATAGCTGGGATCTCTAAGTACTCCTAAAGGATCCTGCAATAGCCCCTAGTTAGTTTACTTACCCCTTTTTGCTCTTCTTATAAAGTTTTGCAATCTTTTCAACTGGCAGCCCATATTTCTCAGAGATCTGAAATCATAAAAATAAAAGAAATATCATTAGAGACTAATGAGAAATATGAAATTATCACCTCTCACTTTACATAAGGCACTAAAACACTACCACTGCAAACTTTGATGGGATAGCTATACAGAAAAGCCACTCACAGCCATACCATAGCTTCATTTAAGGATGATTTGGGAAGGAATAATCCTAAACATCTTGATCAAAAAAACACAACAGTTTCCATCCAGAAACTTGGAGACTATAGTTCTCATAGGGTGTGACTCATCGAAACTGCCTCAGCATCTCCTACCGCTCTGCTCAAGGAGTCAACACTCTTTACAGCTTCAGTTTAGCAGGG